AAAAGAAGAAAATTAAAAGTGAATACAGGAAAGAGTAAGGTTATGAGGATGAAAATATTAGGTGATGAAAGATTGGATATCAGATTGGAGGGAGAGAGTATGGAGGAGGTGAATGTATTCAGATATTTGGGAGTGGACGTGTCAGCGGAGGGGTCTATGAAGGATGAGGTGAATCATAGAATTGATGAGGGGAAAAGGGCGAGTGGTGCACTTAGGAGTCTGTGGAGACAAAGAACTTTGTCCTTGGAGGCAAAGAGGGGAATGTACGAGAGTATAGTTTTACCAACACTCTTATATGGGTGTGAAGGATGGGTGATGAATGTTGCAGCGAGGAGAAGGCTGGAGGCAGTGGAGATGTCATGTCTGAGGGCAATGTGTGGTGTGAATATAATGCAGAGAATTCGTAGTTTGGAAGTTAGGAGGAGGTGCGGGATTACCAAAACTGTTGTCCAGAGGGCTGAGGAAGGGTTGTTGAGGTGGTTCGGACATGTAGAGAGAATGGAGCGAAACAGAATGACTTCAAGAGTGTATCAGTCTGTAGTGGAAGGAAGGCGGGGTAGGGGTCGGCCTAGGAAAGGTTGGAGGGAGGGGGTAAAGGAGGTTTTGTGTGCGAGGGGCTTGGACTTCCAGCAGGCGTGCGTGAGTGTGTTTGATAGGAGTGAATGGAGACGAATGGTTTTTAATACTTGACGTGCTGTTGGAGTGTGAGCAAAGTAACATTTATGAAGGGGTTCAGGGAAACCGGCAGGCCGGACTTGAGTCCTGGAGATGGGAAGTACAGTGCCTGCACTCTGAAGGAGGGGTGTTAATGTTGCAGTTTAAAAACTGTAGTGTAAAGCACCCTTCTGGCAAGACAGTGATGGAGTGAATGATGGTGAAAGTTTTTCTTTTTCAGGCCACCCTGCCTTGGTGGGAATCGGCCAGTGTGATAATAAAAAAATAAAAAAAAATATCTGAATATATTCACCTTATCCATACTCTCTCCCTCCAATCTGATATGCAGTCTTTTGTCACCTAATCTTTTTGTTATCCTCATACCTGTACTCTTTCCTATATTCACTTTTAATTTTCTTTTACATATCCTACCAAATTCATCCACCAACCTCTGCAACTTCTCTTCAGAATCTCCCAAAACACTGTGTCATCAGCAGAGAGCAACTGTGACAACTCAAACTTTGTGTTTGATTCTTTATCTTTTGACTCTACACCTCTTGCCAAAACCCGAGCATTCACTTCTCTTACAACCCCGTCTATAAATATATTGAACAACCATGGTGACATCACACATCCTTATCTAAGGCCTACTTTTACTGGAAAATAATCTCCCTCTCTCCTACATACTCGTAAAAACTCTTCACTGCTTTCAGTAACCTACCTCCTATACCATACACCTGCAACATCTGCCACATTGCCCCTGTATCCACCCTGTCATATGCCTTTTCTAAATCCACAAATGCCACAAAAACCTCTTTACCCTTGTCTAAATACTGTTCACCTATATATTTCACTGTAAACACTTGGTCTACACACCCCCTACCTTTCCTAAAGCCTCTTTGTTTATGTGCTATCCTACTCTTTGTCTTACTCTTAATTTGTTTTTTTATTAACACACTGGCCGATTCCCACCAGACAGGGTGGCCCGAAAAAGAAAAACTTTCACCATCATTTACACTACAGTTTTTAAACTGCATCGTCAGCCGAGTCTTTTGCTTTCGTTGTGAGTGATTTTCTTGTGCAAGATTGGGACTGTCCCTCTAGGATTTTCCAGGTGTATATTGTCATGTATCTCTTCCACCTGCATTCCAGGGAGTACAGGTTCAGGTGGCGCAAAAAGAAAAACGCGACTTTCTCTTTTTAAATATAGTAATTTATACAGGGGAAGGGGTTACTAGCCCCTTGCTCCCAGCATTTTAGTTGCCTCTTACAACACGCATGGCTTACGGAGGAAGAATTCTGTTTCACTTTCCCATGGAGATAACAGGAAATAAACAAGAACTAGTAAGAAAATAGAAGAAAACCCAGAGGGGTGTGTATATATATGTATGCTTGTTTGTGTATGTGTAGTGTGACCTAAATGTAAGTAGTAGTAGCAAGACATACTTGAAATCTTGCATGTTTATGAGACGGAGAAATGAACACCAGCAATCCTACCATCATGTAAAACAATTACAGGCTTTCGTTTTACACTCACTTGGCAGGACGGTAGTACCTCCCTGGGCGGTTGCTGTCTACCATCCTACTACCTAGGTCAGCAGACTTATTCCCCTATAATTTTTGCACTTTCTTTTATCCCCTTTGCCTTTACACAAAGGAACTATGCATGCTCTCTGCCATTCCCTGGGTACCTTACCCTCTTCCATACATTCATTAAATAGTAGCACCAACCACTCCAAAACTATATCCCCTCCTGCTTTTAACATTTCTGTCTTTATCCCATCAATCCCAGCTGCCTTACCCCTTTTCATTCTACCCACTGCCTCACGAACTTCCCCCACACACACAACTGGCTCTTCCTCACTCCTACAAGATGTTATTCCTCCTTGCCCTATACACGAAATCACAGCTCCCATATCTTCTTCAACATTTAACAATTCCTCAAAATATTCCCTCCATCTTCCCGATGCCTTGGACTCATCATTTAATAACTCTCCTCTCCCATTGTTAACTGTCAAATCAATTTGTTCTCTAGGCATCCTCAACTTATTAATCTCACTCCAAAACTTTCTTATTTTCAACAAAATTTGTTTATAACATCTCACCCACTCTCTCATTTGCTATCTTTTTACATTGCTTCACCACTCTCTTAACCTCTCTTTTTCTCTTCATATACTCTTCCCTCCTTGTATCACTTCTACTTTGTAAAAACCTCTCATATGCTAACTTTTTCTCCCTTACTACTCCCTTTACATCTCAGTAAATGAGATAATGAAATATTTGAAAACAATTTGCAAGGCAGCTGAGGAGAGGTTTGTACCCAAGGGCAGCAGATGTAAGGAGAAGGCCAGTATGAGCCCTTGGTTCACCCGGAGGTGTAGAGGTCAAAACCAAATGCAGTAGAAATTGGAAGAAGTATAGGAGGCATAGAACCCAGGAAAATAACGAGAGTAGTCGAAGAGCCAGAAATGAATATGCACAGGTAAGGAGGGAGGCCCAGTGATGATACAAAAATGACATAGCAGTGAAAGCCAAGTCTGACCCAAAGCTGTTGTGCAGCCACACCAGGAGGAAAGCAACAGTAAAGGACCAGGTAATCAGACTGTAGAAGGAAGGAGGGGAGCTCACAAGAAATGACTGAGAAGTATGTGAGTGGAGACAGAAAGGACTCAAGAAACATGGAGTGGTGGGGTAGTCCATAAATTGCTTGACACAATACACACAACCGAGGAGGAGGTGAAGAGGCTGCTAAGTGAACTAGATACCTCAGAGGCAATGGGGCCAGATAACATCTCTCCATGGGTCCTGAGAGAGGGAGCAGAGGTGCTCTGTGTACCACTAACAGCAAACTTCAACACATCTCTGGAAACGTGGCGACTACCTGAGGTATGGAAGACAGCAAATGTAGTCTTAATTTTTAAAGGAGACAGACAGACATGCAGCATTAAACTACAGACCAGTATCACTGACATGCATAGTATGCAAAGTCATGGAGAAGATTATCAGAAGTGGTGGAGCACCTAGAAAGGAATGAGCTCATCTGCGACAACCAGCACGGATTCAGGGACGGGAAATCCTGTGTCACAAACCTGGAGTTCTGTGACATGGTGACAGCAGTAAGATGAGAGTAGATTGCATTTTCATGGTCTGTAAAAAGGCTTTTGACATGGTTCCACACAAGAGATTAGTGCAAAAGCTGGAGGACCAGGCAGGTATGACAGGGAAGGCATTGTAATGGATCAGAGAATACCTGACAGGAAGGCAACAGAGAGTCACAGTATGTGACGAGGTGCCAGAGTGGGTGCCTTTGAAGAGTGGCGGTTCCACAGGGGTCAATTCTAGGACCAGTGTTGTTTCTGGTATACGTGAATGACGTGATAGAAGGAAAAGCCTCGGAAGTGTGTCGGTTTGCAGACTATGTGAAGTTAATGAGGAGAATTCAATCAGAGGAGGACCAGGCAGGACTACAAAGGGATTTGGTCTAGCAACTGGCTTCTGGCGTTCAATCCTGCCAAGTGCAAAGTCATGAAGATTGGGGAAGGGAAAAGAAGACCACAGACAGAATGCAGCCAGGGAGCCAAAGCCTGCAAACCTCACTCAAGGAAAAGGATATTGTGGGGAGTATAATTTCAAACATATCTCCTGAGGTGCACATAAACCAAATAAGTGCTGCAGTATATGGGCGACTAGCAGACCTAAGAATAGCTTTCTGACATCTCATTAAGGATTCGTTAAGGACCCTGTACACCGTGTACATCAGGCCTGTATTGGAGTATGCAGCACCGGTTTGGGACTTACACCTGGGCAAGCACGTCAAGAAATTAGAGAAAGTGCAGAGGTTTGCAACAAGACTAGTCCTGAAGCTAAAGGGCATGTACTACGAGGAGAGGTTAAGGGAAATTGACCTGACGACACTGGAAGATGGGGGACATAACACATAAAATTGCTGAGAAATTGACAAGGTGGACAGAGATAAGATGTTCCAGAGATGGGACACAGTGACAAGGGTTCACAATTGGGAGTTGTAGATTCAGATGAATCATAGAGATTTTAGGAAGCATTTCTTCAGTCACAGAGTTGTTGGGCAGTGGAATAGTCTGAGCAGTTGCTAAACAGGTAGGTTGTTAAGTGAGGAGTGACTATAATTTTTACTGTTGATTATTAAAAATGAAAGGTTTCAATATTGTGGCTGGAACATTTTATTTAAGCATTTTATTCATAAATATATTTAATTATCATTTGAGTAATACAAAAGGGTTATGCTAACTTGTATTTAGATTTATTTAGGTAAGCATTTATTGATTGTGAAAGCATTCATAAATTCACTAATTTTTATTTATATGCAGGGGTCAGTCAGTGAAGACGGACAAGTAAAAGAGGAAGTTGCAGGAAGTCCAAGCAATAGCTGCACCACTACAGTATCGTCAGGTCCAATGATGAATGGTGTAATCAGCGAGGAAGAGTGCAACAACACAGAAGTAAAAACTCCTCCACATTTCCAGGGAAGACCGGCATCAGTTTCAGTACAACCACAAAGTGCAGATTCAGAGCCCAGACCCTTTCCAGAAAGAGAACGCCAAGGGGAAGAAGAAAAATTGGAACACATGCGTAGTGTTGCTGATGACTTGGTGGCAAAATTAGTGGAGGAAGATGACCCAAGGCCTCAATCAGCTTGTCCTAACTCTGGAGTGACGCCGCCTGTTTCAGTAGGTCCCATGACAGAACCCACACCACATTCCACTCGCCCAACTCATACGATGGGTGATGACAAGTGGTATTACACAGATCCTCAGGTAAGGGAGAGTACATTGTGTAATTGAATGTTCATAGTGCATACTTTTGTAGTCTGTTTTTAATAGAATACTATTCATGTTTATATTTATATTTGCCTGGGTTTACTCACCCTAAAAGTTTTAAAAAAGTAGCTCAAGCATGAAAACTTTTCTGTTCAGAGATTTATATGACCTGGCTTGGGGAGATCTGGTTGCTTACTGTGGTTTGGTATGGCATATATTGTAGTGGCTCTCTTAACCTCAACACATGAATGACCCACAGCTATCATCTGATTAACACTTAGACTGTTAAGGGTCTGAAATGAATGTACCCTCAATATCAATGATTTTTTAAATAAAAAATAATTGTATCTTAAACAATTTTCTTTATCTCCATTACTTTTGGAGATACAGTAGCCCCTTTATTACACAGATTTATTTGGCACATTTTGGTTATTGCACTGTTGAAAATTTAAGGCATAATTTTTTAGAACACTTGGTAAAATTAACTTAACATGGTTCCGTTTGTGGGTGGGGACCGCCTTGTTGTGGGTCAGACCATTGTGTAAGCTGGGGAAGACCTACCGCCATCCCCTGCCACTCTGACACTCCTGCCACCCCCATCTCAGCCTTCTCTCCTAGGAGCTAGCTGTGTTTGTGATTGTGTTTTGATCTTTTAATTGCCATATCTTGTATCTGCCAAACAATTATGGCAACTAGTAAGCATACGAGTGTTGTTGAAAGTGGCAAGAGAAAGTATAAGTGTTTAAGTCTTAGAGATGCCAGGAAAATAGAGATATTAGACAAGAGAGAGCCTACGGCCTTAATGAAGTATCAGTTTGTACAGTTCAAAAAAAAAAAAAAAAAAAAAAAAAAAGGTAAATATACGAGTTTGTGTGATGAATGACTGACCAACTTGACTGACTGACTTGACTGACCAACTTACTTGACTGATTTACTGAATGACTCTACTGATTTACTGATTTTACTGACTTGACTGACTTTACTGACTTGACTGACTTTACTGATTTACTGATAGACTTTACTGACTTTACTGACCGACTGACTTAACCGACTAATTGACTTTACTGACTGATTTACTGACTGGACTTACTGACTTGACTTTACTGACTTAAAGTTAGACATTTTTACTAAAGAGTACCTGACAAATCTAGAGGCAGTGCTCTGAAACAGTGTCTAAAGCACCTGATTCCTTACTGTCAGCTGTATAATGTACTGCAGGGTAAAATAGCTTAGAAATCCATTACAGAATTTATGCACACTCCAATACAACCATCGGCTTTAGTATTAGAACCTCTTCTGCCCACCTCAGCCCAGTAGGGCCACAACATAACTCTCCACTTTCTTCACAATCATCGACAAACGCCCACAGTTTAAGGAAAAAATACTATTTTTTTTGCATTTGTAGTCTTAAGCTGTAAAAACAATGTAATACATCACGACAGTGAACAACAATTACATATTCACTTATATTTTTGTAAGATCTGGAGGTCTAAAAAAAAAAATTTTTTGGCTTTTTGGGGCCCCCAAGAATTATTTTTTTTTTTTATTATCACACTGGCCGATTCCCACCAAGGCAGGGTGGCCCGAAAAAGAAAAACTTTCACCATCATTCACTCCATCACTGTCTTGCCAGAAGGGTGCTTTACACTACAGTTTTTAAACTGCAACATTAACACCCCTCCTTCAGAGTGCAGGCACTGTACTTCCCATCTCCAGGACTCAAGTCCGGCCTGCCGGTTTCCCTGAATCCCTTCATAAATGTTACTTTGCTCACACTCCAACAGCACGTCAAGTATTAAAAACCATTTGTCTCCATTCACTCCTATCAAACACGCTCACGCATGCCTGCTGGAAGTCCAAGCCCCTCGCACACAAAACCTCCTTTACCCCCTCCCTCCAACCCTTCCTAGGCCGACCCCTACCCGCCTTCCTTCCACTACAGACTGATACACTCTTGAAGTCATTCTGTTTCGCTCCATTCTCTCTACATGTCCGAACCACCTCAACAACCCTTCCTCAGCCCTCTGGACAACAGTTTTGGTAATCCCGCACCTCCTCCTAACTTCCAAACTACGAATTCTCTGCATTATATTCACACCACACATTGCCCTCAGACATGACATCTCCACTGCCTCCAGCCTTCTCCCGCTGCAACATTTATCACCCACGCTTCACACCCATATAAGAGCGTTGGTAAAACTATACTCTCATACATTCCCCTCTTTGCCTCCAAGGACAGAGTTCTTTGTCTCCACAGACTCCTAAGTGCACCACTCACTCTTTTTCCCTCATCAATTCTATGATTCACCTCATCTTTCATAGACCCATCCGCTGACACGTCCACTCCCAAATATCTGAATACGTTCACCTCCTCCATACTCTCTCCCTCCAATCTGATATTCAATCTTTCATCACCTAATCTTTTTGTTATCCTCATAACCTTACTCTTTCCTGTATTCACCTTTAATTTTCTTCTTTTGCACACCCTACCAAATTCATCCACCAATCTCTGCAGCTTCTCTTCAGAATCTCCCAAGAGCACAGTGTCATCAGCAAAGAGCAGCTGTGACAACTCCCACTTTGTGTGTGATTCTTTATCTTTTAGCTCCACGCCTCTTTGCCAAGACCCTCGCATTTACTTCTCTTACAACCCCATCTATAAATATATTAAACAACCACGGTGACATCACACATCCTTGTCTAAGGCCTACTTTTACTGGGAAAAAATTTCCCTCTTTCCTACATACTCTAACTTGAGCCTCACTATCCTCGTAAAAACTCTTCACTGCTTTCAGTAACCTCATTTTTCCCATAAGTTCTTCTGTTTATCTAACATGGTATTTTCAGGACTGTAACTATTGTGTAGTGTAAGGGTCTACTGTATAAAGCATAAGTGACATTTGTGACAATTGAAAGTGATGCTTGAGTGCTTGCAGCATGGAGGAAGTTGTAGTGGAGTGTGAGCAGGGTAATATTTTGTGAAGGGATTCAGGGAAACTGGTTAGCCGGACTTGAGTCCTGGAGGTGGGAAGTACAATGTCTTAACTTTAAAGGAGGAGTTTAGGATATTGGCTGTTTGGAGTGACATCTAAAATGTCGTATCTATGCACCTTGGCAAGGACATTGATTATGTGTGATGATTGTGTGTGAATGATGGTGACTGTGCTTCTTTTTGGGGCCACCCTGCCTCAGTGGGAGATGGCTGATGTGTTAAAAAAAAAAAAAATCATATCACATTTCACTTGTATTTATTGTTCAGTCACTAAATGGAAACACTAACATGTTTATGTAAATGGCATTTACTGGCTACCACAATACTCTGCACACAAGAATTTTTGTACTATGCACACCTATGAGACAGACCTTTTTTTTCTGATGTAGTCTGAAGCACTCCAGTCAGGACTATTTTGGAAGCGCTAGAATTTACCTCCTTTTGGTAAAATGTTGAGCTGAATTTTTACTATCTGTGGCAATTTGTTGCTAAGGTGTATGACTAGACTAGAGTAACTCAAAGGTAAGGACCCACAAGGGTGAGTGGGAAGTGAGGATTGATGAAGAATAGATGGGGGAGAGGAAAAAGACTACAGAAAAAGAAAAAGATCCAGGGTTAAACCCAGCAGCAAAAGCATTGTATGGCTTGTGCTCTTCAAGATTGGTTGGGCAAGGTCAGACTGTGTGGTGGCACCTAAGTTACACTAAGCAAACTCAGTTACAGTGGAACCCCGAGTTTTGAACTTAATCTGTTCCAGGAGCTAATTCCAAAGTCGAAACATTCGAAACTCGAAGCAATATTTCCCATAAGAAATAATGTAAATACAATTAATTCATTTCAGAAACCCAACAATATTCACAAAAAATTACATTTTATAGACATTAATTATAGTTTTACATACACAAAACAAACAAACATACCATCCACCAATACCATCCACCGATACCATCCACCAATACCATCCACCGATACCATCCACCACCACCACCACCATCCACCGATACCATCCACCACTACCATCATCCACCGATACCATCCACCACCACCACCATCCACCGATACCATCCACCGTCACTGCCATCCACCACCAATGCCATCCACCACCAGTGCCATCCACCATCACTGCCATCCACCACCAATACCATCCACCACCACCACCATCCACCACCACCACCATCCACCACCACCACCATCCACCACCATCCACCATCCACCACCAATGCCATCCACCATCACTGCCATCCACCACCAATACCATCCACCACCATCCACCACCACCACCATCCACCACCACCACCAATACCATCCACCACCATTCACCACCATTCACCATCACCACCATGGTAGCTTATTTCACAGTCACACTTAATAAACAAACACCAAACACAATGAATTAATTGTGAAATGTTTGAATGAGAGCACAGGTTAGTGTTCACTCAAGCATAAACAAAGCCAGACTGGCTCATGACACCTGCGTGGGGATGCGGGCAGGCGGATAGGTCTGGTACACGGTTCGAAACACAGGCAAGTTCGATACTCGGGACAAAATTGATTCGAAAAAATGGTCGAAACTCGAAGCGTTCGATAGTCGATGCGTTCGAAACTCGGGGTTCCACTGTACCTTAATTAATAGCATATGCATCAATATTTAGACAGTAAATATTAAGTGTAAGGAGGGCATACAGCAATATATTAAATTAAACTTAAATTTTCCTGAAAATATCATAGGCTATTCCAGTCTATTTGGTTATTTTAAATTTAAAATTTCATTCTAACCATAATGGTAGTTTTTCCATAACATACAAACCCTGGAGGTGGGAACGTCAGTGCCCACACTCTGAAGGACGAGTGAGGATATTACAGTCAGAGAATAAACTGATTGTGTGGCAACACACTTCTTGGAAGACAGTGATTGAGTGAATGATGAGTGGAACTTTCTGAAATAAGTTGTTTACAGAGGAACTTTTTTTGGTGCCGTAGCACAGCACAGCACTGTGGATTATCC